TAATTATTTCATTGCAGTAATGATTGATTTACGTAATTTAGGATACTGTGAAAATTTTACAGATAAAATTAAATATCTATTGTTTAATCGTGACGATAGAATAACCTATTTTAGAGATGGACACTGTTAAGAATAATTGTATCAATCGTGGACAAAATAGCGAGCTGGGCAGCTCGAACGCCGTCGATTCTGATGAATTAATTTAATAGCCAATTTCAATCCGGCGATAAATTCAATGCAGTCGATCTGAAACCCAATAAATTAGACGATAAAGATTTAAAAGCGTGAGGGTATTCTGTCATTTCGAAGTATAAATTCGATTTGAAATTTATTCTAGAACTTTTTAAATCGGACGAGAAGCTATGAATTTAATAAGGAAATATTTTCGCAATATTTTTAAATTAAGGCTTGATTAAGATTTGGAGAGCTTCAGCATTTGCCATAAAATTGCGAACAATTTGTTACAAAACCATATAAATTATATATCACTGTAATCATAAAACTTCAATCTATTTCCGTATTGTAACGGAATTTTAAGTTATGTCTTTATTTTCGAGAAAACTTAGTCCAAACATAAGGAATATTTTGTTGATGTTTGACTATCAAAATCTTAAAAATTAAGAAACTGTCTAAAAATGTGCTACAATACGGATATAGTATAATCCTTTATCTTTAATTTCCTTCTTCATTTATGTAAAAAGCCAGTTTTACATAAAACCAAAAACGTTAAATGCCAAACGCTTATTTTTCGGACTAGTAAAATGAACTCATAAGTTAAACTTTTCACCAATACCCAGATCTTTACTAAAGCTCTATGATTAACGAAATTAAAAAGTTAGTATACGCTCTCAGCACGAATCACACTTACAACAGTCAAATAACCCCGACCAAAATTATTTATGGCTCTGTTTCACCCAGCTGTAAGACCGTCTTCATTGCTCTAGTTTAAAATTAAGATAAGTCGGGGCAAAGTAATTACTTAGAGCAGACGAAAAGACGGAAAAACCTCTCTTTAGGAGTAAAATTAACTCCAGCGGTGAAGACGGGCCTTATCGTCCAATAAATATCTGGCAAACTTCTAATCCGGGATTAGTTTCAACGAGAGAACGTTAGATCCAGACAAGAGGCACGTTAAGGTTGCCGCAGACACATCAGTGTCGCACAGTGGCGTGCATATAATGTAGGGTAAAAGGCGTTGCCTACACCAGACTTAAGTGCTGTTAAGAAGGTGAGATTTTTATATATATATAATAGCTCTAAAAGCCTATAAGGCTCATGGCTTGATTAGTTATCTTTCTCCATTTGTTTCTGTCTTTCGTCTTTCCACTCATATCCTTCTCAAGTCCTCTTATATCACCCATCCACTCATATCCTTCTCAAGTCCTCTTCTACATCCTTTATCCATCTGGTTCTCGGTCTACCTCTCCTTCTCTTGCCACCTATTTCACGTTTCATTACCATACTAGGAATTCTTGCTTCAGCCATTCTTTCAATGTGTCCCAGCCATCTCAGTCTTTGTGCTCTTGCTATTGCCGTTATATTCGGTGCCCGATATAGTTGCTTTAATTCTTCATTTGTTCTTATCGTCCATATGTTGTCTATCTTCTTTCCTCCAAAAATCTTCCTCAGTATTTCTTTCCCAAATCTCTAGCCTCCAACTTTCCATTGCATTGAACGTTTCACATGCATACAGCACTATTGGTCGTATCATTGTTTGGTACATTCTGATTTTTAAACTTCTAGAGATGTTCTTACTCTAAATAATTTTCTGTAGTGCGCTAACACATTTATTTCCTGCCATAATTTCTTGAGTTGCATTTGGTTTTCTCAGAAATACTGCTCCTATATATATGAATGTATCTACTTCCTCAAACTTGTATCGTTTCCTTCTCTCAGAATCCATTTTTAGACATCTTCCCTTATCAAAATCCCTATCTGTCCACTCTATAAATTTCGTGGTGAGATTTGTTGCTGTAAATAATAACTGTTTATATAGCAAAATAAAACACACTGAACGCGCGTTTCGCTAACCACGTTAGCATCATCAGTAGATGATTATAAACTAAAATACAATCTACATTTGGAGCGTTTATATACTCGCTCAGTGGGCACAGAGTGGGCGTGGCAAGATCTAGCCAACCGAGTCAGAACCCACCGAGCGTAACAGTTAGATTTCCGCCACTGGAGTAGTAGGAACAAAGAACTTGAAGGAATTGAACCGTTGTCTCTGTTCATACTATCTTTACATTTATTAATTCTGATGCTTTCATATGCATCTAATTGCCTGTAATTTGAGACTTGTTTAATTAATTTCAAGTTATTAAGATCTATACAATGTTCTTTATCAACAATATGTTCGGCAACGCAAGATTTATCCGGTCTACCATATCTTATCTGAGCTACATGTTCTTTAAATCTAGTTAATATCGATCTTCTAGTTTGCCTAACATATTTCTGATTATAATCTTTACAAGAAATTTCATAAATACCCGACCTTTCCAGTAGAGGTATTTTATCCTTTGGATTACCTAATAATTGTTGTAATTTATTATTAGCACTATACACAAGTTTATAATTGACATTTTTAAAAATTCCTTTTAGACCACGGGATAACTGTCTATCAAACGGTATTGAAAAATATTTTGACGTATCTTTCTCCACTTGAAAAGACGAATTTTCAGAAATCATTAACCTATACCTACGTTTTCTAATTATTTTATCGACTAGTAAATGAGAATATCCATTACACTCAGCTACATTCCTAATGTAATCTCTTTCTATTTTATATCTTTCGTTGGAAAGTGGAAAACTAAGTATTCTATGAACTAAGAAATTTAAACTAGCCATTTTATGTTCAATACTATGATATGATTCATTAGGAATATATCTGCGTGTAGTGGTATTTTTTCTATAGATATCAAATTCCAGGCAATTATTAGTATTTCTAATAACTAATACATCTAGAAATGGTAATCTGTCGTTGTTGGATTCTATCCCTTCCTCCCATCCTTTACCCGAAAAACCTTAGTGGGTACGTAGCCGTAGTCGAGTACGTAGCGTGACGAGAGAGAGACAAGATCGGCCGGGTATACAGTGTACACCTCCAAGCGCGCGCTATCCTCAAGTGTTTTGTTCAAGCAAAAAATCAACAGGTACGAGTCCAGAACGGGAATAAAGGTGAGTGCCCACAGTCCTGATACATTAACTCACCTTAATGAACTGAGCCCCTTAATTCTCGCCCGTAACATTGGTCCTTCCGCCGCAGATCCCTTTCTGAACTACATACATATTTTACTTATACTCAATTAAATTGATTATCATAATTAATTTCTCAAAATTATCTAAATATCATTAATATTTTTGTAATATATTATTTTAAATATATTCAATAAAATAAATTCTGGAACAAAATCTATATTTATCTTCTCTTTTAACGCAGTAAAAAAGGTAGTACATTTTTTGTCACTGGTTCCACTGGCCAGGAATTTGCCACCGACCGATCGATTTTTTAAATTGCCGTACCGGTGTTAAAAGCGATATCTAGCGCTGTTTCGCGATACTGGTCCGGATATATCTTTTTACGCTCAAATTTATCGATACGCATTTAGTCTCAACTCTAGTCTGTTCTCTCTCTTAATAATTTAATTTTTAATTAATAAATACACTCAATTAATACGAATACCTTAGTAAAAATAATAATTATTTTCTCTCATATCATATTTTATTGTAGAATATATCATTCTTACTCTCTCTCTCTCACACACACACGCACATACACTCTCTCAGTTAATTATTCTATTTCTCTCTTATTCTCTTAATTAATTACTCTCTCTCTCTCTCTCTCTCTCTCTCTCTCTCTCTCTCTCTCTCTCAGTTAATTATTATATTCTATAATATTTTATTTTCTCACCTTATAAGGTGTAAAAATATAATAATTATTTTCTCATATAATATTCTATTGTAGAATATATCATTCTCTCTCTCTCTCTCTCTCTCTCTCAGTTAATTATTATATTCTATAATATTTTATTTTCTCACCTTATAAGGTGAAAATATAATAATTATTTTCTCATATAATATTCTATTGTAGAATATATCATTCTCTCTCTCTCTCTCTCTCAGTTAATTATTATATTCTATAATATTTTATTTTCTCACCTTATAAGGTGAAAATATAATAATTATTTTCTCATATAATATTCTATTGTAGAATATATCATTCTCTCTCTCTCTCTCTCTCAGTTAATTATTATATTCTATAATATTTTATTTTCTCACCTTATAAGGTGAAAATATAATAATTATTTTCTCATATAATATTCTATTGTAGAATATATCATTCTCTCTCTCTCTCTCTCAGTTAATTATTATATTCTATAATATTTTATTTTCTCACCTTATAAAGTAAAAATATAATAATTATTTTCTCATATAATATTTTATTGTAGAATATCTCTCTCTCTCTCTCTCTCTCTCAGTTAATTATTATATTCTATAATATTTTATTTTCTCACTTTATAGCATTCCATTTCTCTCTTACGCTCTAATTAATTATTATACTCATTTTTCGCTATGTCTGCAGACGCTCGCAAATTAAAAACTCTTATAGCTCAACGCTCTGTAGAACTTACTAAAATTAAAGAACTTAAAAAATCCGCTGATCAAGCTCTTGAAGATCCAAATTTTCACCCTAACTTTAGATGTAGAGCAAAACACTTAGAAGATATTTATAAAACTTTTGATAAGATTCATAATAATATAATTTTATTAGTTTCCGCACAGGATAATGGCGATATTGATCCTCATGTCAAAATTCAAACTGAATTTAATGATTATTATTTTCACATTGAAGCATTATTCACAAATTTATTTCCGCAAACGAAATCGGAGCTGGATACTACACAATTACAAAACACTACTGCTCAATGTTCGTAAAACTTCCTAAAATTGAGGTACCCCATTTTGATGGTGAATTTAAACATTGGCAAACATTTATCGATATGTTTGATTCTCTTATACACTGTAACTCGTCTCTTAGTGATATATCGAAATACAACTATCTAGTGAGTTTCTTACGAGGTCCTCCTTTAGCTTTGGTATCTAGTACTCCACTTGCCAATCAAAATTATAATATAGCATATCAAGCCTTAAAAAATAAGTACGATAAGAAACGTTTGATTGCAAAAGCTCACTGGCAGGCTCTAGAAAATATTAAGCCCATCTCTAACGAAAATAATCATGAAGCTCTAAGAAATATGATTGATATTTATACTCGTAATATTACAATTTTAAATAACTTGGGTTTTCCCACAGAGAGCTGGAGTTTTGTGCTATTTAATATGATTTATGATAGACTTCCAGAAATTTTGCAAACTAATTTTGAACTGGAATGTGGCTCTGTTTTATCACAAGATATGCTATACCTCAAATCATACGATACACTCATTGAATTTTTAGAAAAACAATGTTCAGCTAAAGATACAATCTCTCTAACTAAATCGTTTTCTCATTTTAATAAAAATAGTAATTATGACAAAACTAAAACGAAGTATTCACAAAAAAGTTATAAAAATAAACCTACCTCTTCCTTTGTTGTCAACACTCAGTTGAAACAAAATTTAACTTGTCAAGTTTGTAACAAGGATCATTTTATTTATAACTGTCCAGATTTTATTGCTTTTACTCCAAAACAGAGATATGATTTAATTAAATCCCGAAGTTGGTGCTCAAACTGTCTCGGCACTAGACATTCTTCTAAGAGTTGTAATTCTCGTTCCTCATGCCGAACTTGTGGCAAAAAACATCATTCGCTTTTACATTTCGAAGGTCAAATAACAACTCCTGTAAACGTTCCTCCATCCACTTCATCGCAAACTCTTCCAGTTCTGCAAGCAAGCAGCTCTATCTCAGAAGTTGTATCTACAAATTTATTTGCAAAACATAAGAATAAAGCTCTTCTTTCTACAGCATTAATCAATGTTCAAGATGCGTGGGGTAATTTTCATGTAATACGCGCTGTAATTGACAGTGGAAGTGAAAGTCACTTTATTTCAAAATCTTGTTTTAATAAATTAGGTTTATCTAAATTTTTCCTCCCCATCCAATTGTGTGGCATCGGGAAAAATATTTCCAAAGGTTCTCACGGTGTTAGATGCAACATTAAACCTATTGGAAAGTCTGATCCGATCTACTCCTTGGAGTTTATTATATTAAACGAAATTAGTGATAATTTACCGATTAATTCTCTTCCCGTTGAACAGTTCTCAAAGTTTTCTCAATTGCCCTTAGCTGATCCCAACTTTCACCTCTCTAAACCCGTAGATATACTTTTGGGTGCAGATATTTATGGTTTCTTGATAACAGGAAACAAACTCCTCTCAGATCCAGATCAACCCGTCGCTTTAGAAACTATATTTGGATGGATAATTACAGGAAGAGTTAAAACATCTAGTGTTTCACTCTCTGTAAACTCATACTTTCTTACCTCTTATGCTTCCTTGGATCAATCACTTCAAAGATTCTGGGAGTTAGAGGACGTTCCACAATCCTCGACGCTTTCTTCAGATGAAAAGCTTGCCGAAGAACACTTTTGTAAAACATTTTCACGCACTCTTTCTGGACGTTATAAAGTATCTTTACCATTTAAAACTTTGGAACCGATCTTTGAAGGTTCTAGAGATGTCGCCCTTCGTAGATTTTTCTCGCTCGAAAAACGATTGCTTCGAAACCCCCAATTGTATTCTCAATATTCTAATTACATGCGTGAATATTTAGATTCTCAATATATGATTGCCGTGCAAAATCCTTCTCCCAACGCTCATTCTTATTATCTGCCTCATCATTGCGTAATCCGACCAGATAGTCTCACGACCAAACTTAGAGTTGTCTTTGATGCTTCCGCTCGAGATTACACAAATAAATCTTTGAATGACACTCTCTTAACTGGGCCAAAATTACAGTCAGATATTTTATCTATTTTACTTCGATTTAGATCTCATTTGATTGTATTTGCTAGCGATATTAAACAAATGTTTTGTCAAATTCTTGTTAATGAAAATCATACTGAATACCTCAAAATTTTATGGCGATTTAACGCTAATGAGCCCATTCAAGAATACAAACTTACTCGCGTTACTTTTGGTTTAAGCTGTAGCCCATTTTAGCCATTCGAGTTATAAAACAAATTGCTTTAGAAAATTTAGTAAAATATCCCGAAGCATCAAAGATTTTAGATATGGATACGTATGTCGATGATATTATATCTGGTTGCGATTCTCTTTCTCTTGCTATAAAAATTCAACGCGATCTCATTTCTATACTCAAACACAGCGGTTTTGAACTTAGAAAATGGACTTCGAATAGCTCAGATTTTTTCTTTCAGTTATCTCCAAATGAATGCAAAATGGATTCTTCTCTCTCTTTAAATATAAATTCTCTTTCTTCCTCTAAAGTTCTAGGACTAAACTGGAATCCCTCTACAGATGAATTTTCTTTGATTCACCAGCGTTGTCCTTGACAAACAAAATCTGTAACAAACGCAATATTCTTTCACAACTCGCAAGCATATTCGATCCCTGTGGCATGTTGGTTCCTCTCACTCTTCACCTAAAACTGATTCTACAAGATTTGTGGAAGTTAGGTATAAATTGGGATGATCCTGCTCCCAATAACATTGCTACTTCTTGGTATCAACTCGTTCAAGAATTACCTTGTATTTTCTCTCTCAAAGTTCCTCGATATTTTCTCACTCTCAAATATTTATCCCTGGAAGTACATGGTTTTGTGATGCTAGTGAAAAAGGCTATTGTGCAGTAATTTATTTTAGGATAATTCTTCCAGATAACTCTGTAAAACAAATTTTGTCTGCGCTAAAGGCAAAGTAGCTCCACTCAAAAAATCTCAATTCCAAGACTGGAACTCTGTGCAGCCTTACTTCTGACCAGGTTAATTGATTTCGTTAGAACTTCTCTTTCTAATAAACTTATTAATGTTAGTACGATTGCATGGTCCGACTCGATGGTTGTTTTGCATTGGCTTAAAAGTGAACCATATAAGTGGAACACCTTTGTAAGCAATCGAGTTTCCCAAATTCAAGAGAAATTACCTCCTTCTTGTTGGCGTCATGTAGTCTCCAAAGACAACCCCGCTGATCCAGGTTCTCGTGGTCTTCAACCTAGCGAGTTACTCGACAATGCCTTATGGTGGGCGGGACCTCCATGGCTAAGCCAACCGGAATCTTATTGGCCGCAATCAATTTTTACTTTCCCTGAAATTGAAGAACAACAACGAAAAGTTATATTGACATGTACTTCACAGCCCTCATTGTTTGATACTCTCTTTGAAAAGTTCTCTTCTTTCTCTAAAATTATAAATATTGTCACGTTTTGCAGACGCTTTCTATAATACTCGACATTCTAAATCTCGTAAAACCTCTCCTCTCTCGAAATTTGAAATAAATGAAACTCTAGAATGTATTATTAAATGTGTTCAATCACAATATTATGCTAGGGAAATTCTCTTAATAAATAATTGCAAATCTCTACCTAAATACTTACGAAAATTGACCCCCTTTCTCGACACCAATGGAATTCTTAGAGTTGGTGGTCGCCTGCGCAATGCTTCTCTAAATTTCTCTCAAAAACATCCCGCACTCTTACCCAATAATCATAAATTTACTACTCTACTCATAGAATATACTCATAAACTCTATTTGCATCCCGGTCCCCAAACTCTTCACTATATTCTCGCTCAACAATACTGGATTGTTTCTGCTAGAAAACAATTCGTAGTGTTCTCTTTAAATGTCCTCAATGCTTTCGCGCTAATCCAGTAATGCCTCAGCCTCCTATTATGGGAGATATTCCTGCTGTAAGACTTTCTCAAGTAAAACCTTTCTCTGAAGTTGGATGCGACTATGGTGGTCCATTCTCTTTATTAAGATATCGTGCACGAGGTGCTAAGTCCTGTAAAGCCTATATTTGCTTATTTGTGTGCATGGCCACGAAAGCTTTGCACTTAGAACTGGTTTCCGACCTTTCCTCCGAGACTTTTCTGGGTGCACTGCGTCGATTCATTTCTCGTTGAGGTCGCTGCAATCATATTTATTCCGATTGTGGAACGAACTTTGTCGGAGCTTCTAGAGAACTGATTAATATGCTAAAATCCGCCGCTGAGCAAGAACAAATTTCCTGGCACTTCAATCCTCCAAGCGCGCCTCATTTTGGTGGCCTGTGGGAAGCAGGAATAAAGTCTGTAAAACTCACATTAAAAGGGTCATTGGTGATCAATTGCTCACGTATGAGGAATTTTATACGCTACTGGTTCAAATAGAAGCAGTGCTTAATTCTCGTCCATTGTGTCCACAAAGCTCTGATCCTAATGATTTGTCAGTTCTTACTCCAGGACATTTTTTAACCCTAGAGCCGTTAAACGCCCCTCCGGAAGATAATCTTTCCGGGATAAAATTAAATCATCTCTCTCGCTGGCAGTTGATATCACGCTTGCACCAAAGCTTTTGGAGCCGATGGTCTAAAGAATACCTTCAAACACTTTACAAAGAGCTAAATGGAATGACTCTACTATTCCAATAGAAATAAACTCGGTTGTTTTAATAAAGGATGATAATCTTATTCCGCTCAAATGGAGCATTGGAAGAGTCTTAGAGATTCACCCGGGCCATGATCGTGTTACCCGCGTGGTTACTTTAAAAACAGCAAAAGGCATTCTTAAAAGACCAGTGACAAAGATATGCCCACTGCCTTACTGCAAATCTCATAATTAAAATTTACTCTCTAAAAAAAACATAATCGCAAAAAAAAACATAATCTCATTATAAACATAATTAACATCTCTTATTTAATTACTTTTCTCTACTCTATAACAAATGTAAACTCTCTTAATATTTAATTAAATTACACTCATGCATTAACCCCAATAATGCATTTTTTCTAAATTTCCTCTAAATTTAACTTCATAAATTTCACTCTTACTTTCTTTTTAAACATAACGCATTTTTTTCTTTTTTTTTTATTTTTACTTTACTATTCTCAAACGAAAATGGAAAATATTTCATTTTGGTGGGCGGTATGTTGGATTCTATCCCTTCCTCCCATCCTTTACCCGAAAAACCTTAGTGGGTACGTAGCCGTAGTCGAGTACGCAGCGTGACGAGAGAGAGACAAGATCGGCCGGGTATACAGTGTACACCTCCAAGCGCGCGCTATCCTCAAGTGTTTTGTTCAAGCAAAAAATCAACAGGTACGAGTCCAGAACGGGAATAAAGGTGAGTGCCCACAGTCCTGATACATTAACTCACCTTAATGAACTGAGCCCCTTAATTCTCGCCCGTAACAGTCGTTGTTCTCAATTTCATGCGTAAATTTAATGGAAGGAAAACGATTATTTAATTTAGAAATAAAATTATCTATGGTATCTGAATGTGTGTCAAAAACAGCAAAAATATCATCCACATACCTAAACCATACTCTTGGAAAATACTCAAACTGATTCTTAGCCTCCACTTCAAACCTGCTCATGAATAAATTAGCCAAAAATGGAGACAATGGATTACCCATTGCTGTACCTTCCCGCTGTTCAAAAAAGTTGTTATTAAATTGAAAATAATTTTGTTTCATACATAACGATGTAAGCTCAACATATTCAATCACAGTTTTGTTGTCGAGACCATTTGCGTTCAGTAATTCCTTCAAGTAGCCATGTGTGTAATGTGATTATATATTTATAATTAATTAATTTTTGTTTCCTAAATAATTCCGATTAAAAGAAAATATGTAAAATAGGGCAACGTTGTGCCGGTCACGTTTAATCACGTGACTAAGTGTATTTGATATGAACTGTAGTTATACACAGATAATAATCCATGTAAAATAACTTAAACAATTTTATTCCCCATTTTATTACCCATAAAATTTCGCTTTTTTAAAACAAAAACTGAGACCTTGTTAACGTCACGGCCATGTGATAATTTCTAATTAACCTTTTTGTCTGGAATTTCCTCCTCTCCGCCGTTTTTTTATCGATCTGATACAGTGTTTTGCACTACCATCAGCAAATTCGTATATACCTACGCATAGTAATTTTTTCAGCCAACTCAGCAGAAATAAGCTGAACAGCGATTTTAACTGATGAAACAAAGGCTTGCGGACAGAAAAAAATATCTCTGGGTCGCTTTGAGAGCGTCGATGTTTGATTGATATCATAATTTTAATCAAAAAATGTAATTTTTAATTTAATGAAGTATAATGGGCGAACGTTTTATCTGTATAAGCTTTTATTTAACATGTAATGTTCGTATGTAATTTGTCTGTTTCATAAATTCGCAAATCGTTTTTTCAGCCAGTTCTGCTAAAGTTATTATAAAATTTTCAAATACATTGAGTTTATTTACTATTGCTGCGTTAAAATTCTAGTTTAAAAATACCGTGTGTTTCTCAAATGTGGCTTACACCTATATTTTTTTAATTTTTTCAGGTAAAAAAAACATGATTTGATATATTAATAATATATGACATATATTATGTGATTGATGCACAAATTAAAAAATTTGATATGTTAATAATATATTTGGAGTTGGAGTTTCTGGTCAATGTCAAACGAAGAAAACTGGAATACTTCGGACACATCATGCGAAACGAGAAATACCGCCTGCTCCAACTCATTTAGAATAAGTGGGAGGGGGGTTAACCTCTGCGACCTTAGAGATCTATTGTGTCCCCCTTTCTTGAGTTATAACTCATCATACAGTCACAGGACTTCCTACGGAGACCCGTGTCCTTCACAGTCAAGGAGCTACGACCCAGGCCGGGTAGACGAAGCGGTAGCTTGTGTCGCCTGTTGGGTTTAGAGATAGGAGGTAGGCTCCCGACCCTTGGAGGAGGTGGTAACTTGTATGCCACTTGCGGAGGATGGTCTCACGCAAGTGTCAGCCACCTCTCCTGCAGTTCTCTTTGGGTTTAGCCCCTTGGAACTTTCATTGTTACTGTTTCCAGTGTCGCTAGGGGGTTTCCCCACAGCTTCACCGGTGATGTTTTTATTACTATTATTACCAGATCTCATAGTGTTCCCATGAGTCGCTAGGGACAGTCGGTCCACTTCTACAGAGCCCCGCATGTAGAAGTAAGGGGTAAAATACAATGGGGTGCCC